CCGCAAGTTGGCCACTTTTGCAATAGACGTTCGTTAGTCTAAACAGGTATACAATTTTACCATATTCGGCCACGAAAAAATCAATGAATACGACGGTGTAAACATCTCTGTGCGTTTTTGCCACACCAGTTAGGGTGATCGAATTTTTAGACTGTTATTTTAATTATTATGCTGTGAACCCCACTTGTGAACTAATGCTAAATGGATTTGCACGTGGACCAATGTTAAATTATTACGTCGTTTGAAATGCAGTAGGGAGAGGTACGTGCAGCTGTGAAAGCAGGATCTTGACAGCATTCTGGTTGCCTGATGAGGGTAGCGAAATTCCCATAAATCTATGTTGGTGGTTGCCTAGGGCAGTGGTTTTCAACCTTTTTTGAATCGTGACCMCTATTATTTATTTTTTTGTACTGCGACCCCCTTAAAAAAAAAATGTTGTTTTATTCATTAAAATTTGATTTAATTTCTGATAAATATTTATGTGGTATAAGATTTTGATTAATTACTTACACTTAAAAATTTTATTAATTTATAATACAACATTATTTTGAAACAATTCAAGCATATATAATACATTAAAATATAAAAAAAAATTTAAAAAATCCAAAATGTATATAGGTATACTAATCTTGATATTTACGTTCTTTTTTTGGTTCTCAAAATTTAAAGTTTTTTGTTTCTTTCAATTCCTCATTGATAGGCTGGCCTGTTGTACTTTCCGACAGTTAACGTTTTTATTTTCACTTGCTCGTCTAATTAAAATTGTTTCCATTTTAAAACAGTACCTATATTCGTTACGTCCTATATATCGCGTGACATATATGTAGGTACTGCCCAAATGGGTGGCACCGTTTTCGGCCAAAGTAAACCTTTCCCTTTTCGGCCATTCTGAAATGACCTGTTCGGCCAGCACACTATTTTGTTCACCAATGAAATATTCTTTTATAAAAGAGGAGAAATAACACGAATAGAATTTATTAAACGTATGTGTTATAACCATAGACCTTATACTGATACTATTATTATATAACTATAAAAAAAAATTAAAAATCCACATAATTTTCTATTTGTTGTGTAAATAAATAATATAATATTACTTTTATTTTGTATACTTTTTAACTTAATTCAATTTATTATAAATTAATAATTGACGTATACTCGTATACAATAATTTTAGATGTCATTACTGTTATTATTATTAGTTTTATCTTTATTATATTGTATTATAGGTATATAGGTATCTTATTCTTGTTAATATCTGGTCGATCGATATAATTGTTCAACTATATTTCAGTGTGTTTCTATCCGTGTACATAAATGTATCTCATTGTGTCTGCTGCCGTATATATCAACAAAAATTAGACATGCAAAATAATTAGATCTTAATGTATATGTATATAATTTATATATATAATAGGTATATATTATTATTTTATACGGTCTATTAAAAAAGTAGTGTTTTGGTAGTTTAAAAAAAAAATAAAACGTGAAAAGAATATTTCATTGGCGACCAAAATAGTGTGTTGTCCGAAAACGGTTATTTCAGAATGGCCGAAAAAGCGGGAAAGGTTCATTTTGGCCGAAAAGTGTCCCGTCCGCCCGAATGACACCTATAGGTAGGAACTGATTATTATAAATATTTGCGACTACCTACGTAAGTATAGTGAATTAGTGACTATAAAATACGGGTTACAAACAATTTAATAATCTATATTCTGTATAAGCCATCGATAAAAATATAAGATTACGCTCCTCAGCATGTTATTGTATATATAGACCAAATAAATAATTAACTTAATTTTATTTTTAAATAAATTGGAAAAATTATTATTTTTGGTGACCCCAAAAACTATCAATCTCGACCCCCAGGTTGAAAACCGCTGGTCTAGGGAACCAAATTTTTTAATGTTTATTAAAATTCATTGAACATTTCAAAAATTAAAAATGTAGGTATTACTTTAGGTATATGTATATTATTACGAAAAAAAATAATAATGTATAGTACCTATATCCTCAAAAAAACTGTCCTTAAAAAAGGGCCACGGTTGAAAAAAATAGAATTTGGAGCTTAATAAAGAAGTGAAATCAATGCCCAAATTATATGCCTCAACTTGAAAAAATATCTTATTCAAAAAAATTTCAAAATGTTCAACTGTACAAACATTGAAAATAATATTAGCACTGAACGGCGTACAATAATGATGAATTAGCCATAAATCGGAGTTGTTGACTTGTTTACGAGTTAATCTGTCGAGCGACGAGCCGAAGATTTGTCCGCCGTCGCCGTTCCGGCGAGGGACCGATATTGGTTGTACCAAGGATTGCCGCAGTCGCAGAGCCACGCAGCCGCCGAGCCACGCAGTCAGGTCAAATGGATTTGTTTAGTCTCACGTGTCAGTGGGTTATTTTTAAAATAATTATTGTTCACCAGCTATGGTATTTTTAGTTTTAAGTTACCTATTATTGTTATTCAGGGCGCCCGATACTTAACTTATTATTCATTGCAAAATATACGTGTTTCCGACCCAAAACTGTGATCGTATTATACACGTTGCGTAACCTGTTCCCGCTCCAGCTTTCAACACTTAACGTGAGTCGTTGCCAACAACCGCACAATTCGTAGGATCCGTATCGGCGCATACATTTACAAATCGTAGTATGTTGAATGTTCCACGGCGTTCGCAGAGTGAATAGAATAGGCATAGAATAATATTCTAGAAGACTAGCAACGCCTAGTATACTATACTAGCGCGTAGCTGTTGTTGTGGGTAAGGTTCGCGGTACGGTAGCGGCCGGCGCGTGGCGGTTGCTATGGCGTTGGAAACGATAACGATGGAACGAAAGAAAAAGACTCACAAAACTGCAGTTTTTAGCTCTGTCTCCCAAGCACTCCGCATTCAAGAAACGCGTGCGAGTCGAGACGAAACTTAATGTATAATAGTCTCGCTATCGGTTGTATCGGTGTGCCGTTTCTTCTCGGTGTTACTTATGCACAGAAAGGAGTCTCTAGGGAGACTCTTCGATTATGTTTCTATGTATATTGTTTAAATGTATACGTTTTATCTATTTTGATTCATTCTAATTTATAATCATAATAAGTTATTAAAAATAATCCATTGTATACATAACTGTAGTTTTTGATAATATTACATTTAACACGTTATTGAGCTACACTGGTATAGTCAGCTCCACACAGCCACACTATACAGGGTGTAACAGATAGAACTGACTTTTAGAATAACTTTTGTTCTAATTAATATTTTTTTATTTTTTATTTATTTTTTTTTGTTTATTATTAAGAGACCCTTGCGCTACACGTACAATATAAAAAAAAATTCATTTTTTTAATAGTACAAATAAAAAAATTTAAATTTGATTAAATTTTTGTTGGAAAAATTCAAAATAGCCAATTTGTAAATTTAATTAAAAGAAATATTTTGATGGTAAAAATATTTATCTAAATCAATTAGTTTATTTTTTAGAATTTTTTTAAATATCAATATTTTTTTGCATAAATTACTTTAGAGCGTTATAACTTCTTTCAAATATTATTTTCAATATTATTTCTGAAATGAGTATATTTCTTAAATTAGTTATTAATTATATAATTTTCACAATTTTTGTCGTACGTTTAATTAGCATAATTTTTTTTTTTTAGTCCTATCTGAAAACCCTTGTGATATTGCTGTTATTATGATCTATATACCTGGTTCAAAGGGTAACAATAACAATAAACTAGAGTAGGTAATAGTTTTTACATTATTTTTTATTTGTCCGGTATATATGAGAGATGAGGCGTGTGTGGTGTGGTCGTGTATTTTACAAATCAACAAGAAAGTAACTAGATGCCCTAGGGAAGTACAAAGTACTGAGACATTATTTCAAATGCGAGACATCAACGTATTAAATCAAAAAAGTTAAGTTTAGAATTGTTAATTATATAAAAATGTTTATTATAACATCATAGCATGTGAGAAATACAGCTTGAAAAAGTTTCTTAATCCATTCAATCCAGTCGAGGCAGCTCATGTCGTTAATGTTGAAGAGTGTGACGTTTAGGATATATTGGATATAACTCTATACGAAGTTTTTCTGTTCACTTTTGATGTAACTATGAAGTGCAATCGATTTTATTATTAATTTGAATTATCAAATTTAATATTCTTCCGACTTATTTATACCTAGTYGGATACCCGATACCTATCTTCATCACATTTTATACCTAATTGATGATAATTCCGTCTCAACCATTACTAATAAGTAATAACATAATATTATATTCTAATTAAACCAACACTGAACACAATAAATAAAAGTAATAGATAGTCTCCTAAGTCTGCTTTCGTTTCTATATAAATGTGCAAAAAATGTTAATATGTTAAAATGTATACATTTTTGTGAATAAAATAGCTTAATATATAATTATAGCAAGTTATTGGTTGATGATTATATAGATAATGGTATTAATAACGGTTTCAGATTTTATTATATATATTAAAATAATTTACAAAAATGTCCCAGCTCTTAAAAATGTTAATAATATTTTTAATATAATTATCTATGTGATAAACGTCTTTAACTTCCGATTAAAGTCCTTATGCACACTGCAACGGTAGTGGCGAAATGAAACCGTACAAATTTTACCGCTACCGTAGAGGCACCGCCATCRCCAAGACCAAAGACTTACCGCTACCGCTGCAATGTATGGCGACTTTTACATAGATCAACAATTGAGTGACGGAAATCAGTATGTCAGTAGTAGATGTAATTATATATGTATTATATAATTACCTATATAATTTTTGAATTTTGAATACCTAATTAAAAAAAAAACCCATATAATACCAATATTAGACTATAATGTCACATAAAATATTATAAGTTATCGAGATCTAATTATTTTATATACCTAGGTATTGTAGTATTGATTAAAACATTTGYAAAAATCTTTAATGCAACCTTAATTTAATAAAAAACACAAATAAAGTTTTACATTTTTTTCATTTAATTATTTCAATAATCTGATCTTTTATTTCAAACTCCTGCATGAAAATTTTTATGGCTTTATTGACTTCTTTATCTGTTGTAAGGTAACTAAAAACTATTTCTCCAGAACCTGGTGTTAATACTGAGTTGTGTATCGTTTTTGATAGCAGGTTGTAGGCAAGAGAAATTCGTAAACAAAATTCATCTTTTAACATTTTGTTATGTTCTAGTCGATGTAATAAATTTTTCACATCATAAGCCTCACATTTTTCTAAGATATATTTCCATCTCATCTCTCTTCTTAATCGTCTTCTTTCAAACAAATCGCTTATATCCTTTGGAAGGTCGAATCTTATATTACGAACATGTCTTTGTTCAAATTCTTCTATAGCAGAACGAGCCGTTACAAACCATTTGAATCCATTATTTAACTCCTGAAAATGTCAATATTATATTAATTATACGTACGCTATTTTGGGTTCCTAAATAAACCTTGAAGTAGTTAAATATATTATGCAACGTTTTAGGAAGTTTGACAGATGGTCAATTCTACGTCCCACAAAGCCGTGCGTTATCAATTGACTTTTATTAATATATTTATATTGTTGCAAGAAGCGGCTATTACTTGATTATTAATATATTATTTTTACAGTTGGACCAAAAGAGTCGTAGATATTATCTATAGAATTTGTTGAGCCAAAACTCAAAAAGGCTATTACCTATGTTATTATTATTATATTAAATATTGATTAAATCATTTATCAGCTATACGTTAATACTATCATTTGAGTTACCTTGTAATTATTTTTTAGACACACACATATATTTATAATACCCATTCACCACATACCTCATCGGTATTTACCTGGAAATCCAAACCACTACCAATTAAGCTATTATAACACCACACAGCATATTACTATTTATTATACACATACAACAGGTAAATCGGTGAGTAATGGAATGACAATCGACKGTTTTATTTTTAGTGACAGCATTGATAATATAAATTCAATTATACCGGCTGGTACAAATACTTGTATATTTTAAAATTCTCTAGTAAAATATTTAAATATATATATATCATAAAACAAAAATGATAATATAATAAAAATCTAAAAATCTAAACTTTTTCTTGATTTATAAAAAATACTTAGACTTTTCCAAATTTTCACTAGGTAACTGTTTTAAATATGTGGAATTATTTGCAAAGTTAATTCATACTGTGATTAAAATAGGCATATATTTTCCCAATATTCTTTATATATAAATCAATAATAATAAAAAAAAACCACAATTCAATTTTATTCTCGTAAATTAAGTATATAATATTATATTATACTTGTGTAAAAATTATATTCTGCTCTATACATGCATAAAAAAAGAACTGCGTTCATCGAAAAAGTAAACGAAAACGAAGGCGTATAGAAAAATTTGTATACATCAATTTCTGAGAAAATTAATCTTACCTCCTACTTACCTACCATTTTTGTTTCGGCCTTTACTGCTCTCTCTAAAATTTTATTGTACGCTGTTAACGGCACCTGAAAATAAGGTATACATTAGATTATTGGCAAGTAGTCTGAGTAGTCATCGTAAAAGGCGTAAGGCTGATACAATTTTTTAATTTATGAAATAAATAAATGTTTTAAACTTTAATATTATAGTCTACAAATATTTTACCGTCAATGCTTTATGTTTTGACATATTTTGTTCAATTACTGATGATGTACTACGTCAACCGTCTTGGACTAATGAAAGAATGAAGGGAAATTAAGATTAATATTTACGTCGTTGTAAGATTCACCAACATTCACCACCAGCAACAATTGTAGATGGTGATTTTAATTTAGATTAATATCCGAGTTATGCTGAAAATAAAATTTAATGTTGACTAGCTTTTAGTTATGGTTTATTGCTAGGTGAATTAAAACAAATAGCGCAACAAATCAAAAACCATTCTTCAAGTTCAGTCTTTTACAATTCTAAAACTATTTATATTGTCATATACGCACTTTTCGGTGATATATTTCTATCACTACTTGAGTCCCACGAATACCATAAATTAACCGGCTACAGTCTGACTCTCAAGAAGTCAATATCGTTATAATATACCTTACTGTTTAGATTTTCAATCTTCAACGAAACAACGACTACAAATATTAACTGATTACAGTCTAACAGATCAGATTGAAAGAACACAATTAACTTCACCGTTTAAACCTTAAATTCTCAACCATCAAATTAACCGATTACAGGTCGAATTTAAGGAGTATCGTAAAATTGTGTGGCTACTCAAACAAAAAATATAATTTTATATGTTGGTAGCACTTTTTATTAAAAAAATGAAACAATTACAAAAAATAACTGTTTACTATCGGTTTACCTATATATTACCAGGGCTAGGTAAATTGTATTTGAAATAAGTTTGGTATTCTTTGAAAACGTTAAATTGAGACCCGATAAAAACAAGTGTTAGGTAAGTCGAGTCCCCGAAAATAAGATTGTAGATTCTGGCTACTAATTAAAAAAATAAATGCTATCATTATATATATATAGTGAAACCACTTAATACCGGACACTCTCGATCGCCATAATTTTTTTCGTTGTACGGAGGTGTCCGCTATTCAAAG